ACAGTGGAAGAAACACTAGAACTGATTCCTCTTATCTAGCTATAATTTTGTATCCTTTAACACAGAGGTCTCCAACCCTCAGGCCATGGACCAGTACCAGTCCATTACCTGTTAGGAACTGGGTGCACAGCAGGAGGGGAGCAGCGGGTGGGCGAGTGAGCAAAGCTTCATCTGTATTTACAGCTGCTCCCCATTGCCTGCACTCCCACCTGAGTTCTGCCTCAGCTGCAACGTTAGATTCTCATAGGAGCATGAAGCCTTTGTGAACTGCATATGTGAGGGATCTAGGTTACCCATTCCTTATGAGAATGTAACTAATGCCTGATGATCTGAAATGGAACAGTTTCATCCCCAAACCATCCGCATCCCCAACCGTGGAAAAATTCTCTTCCACGAAACAAGTCCCTGGTGCCAAAAAGGTTGAGGACCACTGCTTTAACAAATCTCTCCCTCTCACTTCCTTCCCCAGAATTCCCATTTTAAAGGTGCAAATAGAGGCACAGAAATGGTAAGTACCTAATCCAAGTTTACACAGCTAGTAAATATCACTGCTAGGAGTTAGACTCCACAGTTCATGCAACTAACTACTACACCATGAAGATGAAAAAACTGAATCACTCTGGACTAGTCAAGTTTCTTAACCTTAATGTGCTTTAAATCTGCAGAATGGAGATTAGATCTCATTCTAAAAAGTATCGTGCAGAATTCCATATCTAGTCGACACTCAGGCATTCTCAGATTCAATTCTCTTCTTGAGCAACCCCTCAGGTTTATGTCAAGAAGTAATGTGTAGTTTTGCTAGGATACAAATGTCAATGACAAAAGCTGTGCAAGGCTGGCCCACCAAAATAGGACACTTGGCTGGTACAGGAGGGGAAAGCAGTGAAGAACCCAACATCGACACGAGCATGTAGCTTTATTTTCCTCATTTCTTGGTGCACATTAAAATTCCAGAAAAATGGTATGGTATAGTGGTATTCTCAAATTTGGAACTTGTAAAGGTTTTAAGATGCACCCCTAGACAAATGTCAAGGACCCACTTCATGTTCCTGGCTGACATCCTCTGATATAGTCACCTGAATTACACATTTTTCCATAATTAAGGAAAAGCAGATATTGTATGCATTTAAACATATTGTCTATATTCAAAGATTGATAATACACAGCATTGTTTATGAAGAGAACAAAATCATACAACTATATTGAGACAAGCTGCTATGGTAACTATTTCTCTGCTTAAAAAGAGAGGCAATTCCTTCTGTTACTGGAAGACTGTCTCAGCTTTTAATAGCAAGCATTATGTATTATTTTATATATTGGGCCTGGTTTTTGTCTTATACTAGACAAGTTTCCATGTTACTTTACTTAATACAATAAGTCATATTGAATATTTAATCATTAAATGGAAATTGTATTGGGTGATGCACCCTCAAAGACAAATTAAAAGTATGATTAAATATCTCACCCAGATGTTAACAGATGATCATACATGTCTTGAAACAACTGCATCACTCTATAGTCAATAGTTTCAATTCAATTGTCTGTAAATGTTATTTATTTCCTGAAAAGTATTTTCTAGATTAAGAGGAAAATTAACATATAAAACTCTGTGTTTTACACCAAGGTAATTTTTTACCCACATTATTTTGTTACGTATCATTGGCAGATCCCTTCCTGCTTTCCCATACAGCGATGGATGTATTATAATAAAAAAAGATTTTCCTAATCAGTAGCAATACTTTCCAGATTTCCTGCAAACAGGAAAGATCATAAATTTTCTTATACTTTAACAATACTTCCCCAACTCCATTTAGCCACTTGCATGTTGCGCTGACTCAGAGAACTACAATTTCAGAATATAACAACAGCAATAATAATATCACTCATTAAGCTCTTGCTTAATATCAGTATTAGTTTGGTTCTAAGCACTTTGCATGGGACACCAAATTTACAAACTTAGCACAACTAAAGGAATCCAGAGATAGTATGCATTTAAAGATCTCATATTTGTTTATGAAAAAGAGATAATATTTAGCATTGATTTTAAGGGTTTCTCTTTTAATCCTTACAACAATCCCATGAGCTTGCTGCTAATGTATAGATCAATTTCCATGTCCTATAAGTTTTCCCTGAATTGTACAGATTAAGAAACCCAGTAATTCTCCCTCAGGTGTCATAGTTTATGAAATAAAATAAGCAATATGTGGAATGTAAATGTATTAATAAGATTCAAAAATAAGTGATTCATACCAAATAAAGACAGAAAGGTGGCTAGTGAAACACATAATAAACATTCAACACTCCAAATCACAAATGCAAAAGACACCAACATTTCCTGTAATAATACATGAAAGCATCAGTTTTGCTTTTTGTTTTTGCAGTATCCCTGGCACTGTGAATTCATACTTTAGGTAAGCAATGACATTATGAATACTATATTTATACCTGAGGAAGCCTAGAACTTAAATATTTGCAAATACATCAGCTGAACATACTGTTGCCAGCTGTTACTGCTATCTCATTTTCTTTATATAAGAAGATGGATGAGTGAATTATAGTAATAAAAAAGCAAGCATGCTTAAGTTAAAGGCTTTGCTTATGATTTAGTTTGTCATAATACACTGGTGTACGAAAGGAAATCAAATTATTTAACTGACTAGATTTTCTATTCATACACAACTATTTCCAGTAAGCACTCCCATGAACTGTTTATATATAGTATTAGAGAATATAATGAAAGAGCAATAAAACAAACTTCTTTATCACTGCACTTAATAAACACCTGAAGTTCCCTAATGTGATGAACTTTCAGTAATAAATAATTGACTGTATCCACATTTTTCTGAAATCTGATAGACTGTGTCACCTTACACTTAGCCTATAACGGCACTTAGTTTTTCTTAAATCTTCTCCATGCTTCAATTAAAAAAAAAATATCAGTTCTATTTAACCTTGCGAAGATGCAAACTAGTGATAGAATGGATTTTCTACACTTGTAAGTACATAAAAAAGGACATTCTTAATTATTCCAGGTACGTGTTTTACCTTAATCATTCCTTATGACCTAAAGTCCTGAGAGCAAGGCCCATTCAGCCAAGAAGATATTATTTGAAGTCTTTTGTACATAAGTAAATTGTTTTCTGTAGTCACATCCCAAAGGGCTTTGCAAAATTTCAGTTAGTCAGGTGAGCCAAGAGCAACTACTACTTTCTATAAGTTCCAATAAACTTTCTGGCCCTATGGAGGCATTTAGTTTATGAGTTATGCCTAAATACCCTAAGGAAATTGAAACTAGTAATTTCTTTATTTCGCTAGCATTGGTTCAGATCACTCATTATATTAATTCTAATAATTCTCCTTGGAGGCAGGTAAGTGGCAGCCTCATTAGTAATGCTGCCCAGGAAGGACAAGAGGCTCTGTGGCCTGCCCAGGGACTGACTGTCAGGCAGCTGGCATCCAACACCTGACCAGGGGCCCATCCATTGGTCCTGAACACACTAGCCACTGAAACCGCTTCTTAATTGGCTTAAATGGGCTTGTTTATTTTCCACTTTTCTGTTTATTGAAGTAGAAGTGGAAACTGGCCTTCAAAGACCAGCCTATCAACATCTCCTTCCTTGGCTCGCCTGACCTTCAGGCAGTGCAGCTGCCTGAACTGAGTTAAAAATGGACTGTCAAGCTGGCTTTAATTTCTGCTGCTCTGCCTCCGAATGTCCTCCCACTGATCTGTTTATCATACCCTCTATACCCCTCGGGTTGTTGTTTTTCTAAGAGTTTTATGCCAGGACGGCTGAAACTGCCTTTCAAGGCTCTAACCTGCAAATCCTTCTACACATAATCCTAGAGGACCTGGGAGCCAACACTAGGATCTCTACTGTAGGAACAACCTTCTCCCTCCAGGCATCCCCTAACCCACCCCAAGCTGACTCTCTGAACAGATCATCTCCTACTGGCACACCAAAGCAAGACAACCGTGGCTTAGTAACTTTGGAAGAAAAAATTCAGGTTTGGCTTCTTGCTCATGGGTTGTGCGGGCATGTTGCCTCTTTCCAGGGCTCCTCTGCCCCTCTGTGTGTTCCTCTGCAGGACCGCAAGGAGGCCTCACAGGGATTATCTGCTGATCCCCAGCAGAATATAAAACTCTTTATCTTCATTCTCTGAAACCTCTTCAAAACATCCCAAACCCAAGATCCTCCCAACAGGGCTCTCCAGAAACGTCTGCCTCCGGAAATGACAATTGCTATCAATGATGCACGGATGGAGGAGTACCTAAGATCCTACTAATGGTTTTGTGTGTTTCTTGGCAAGCTCCCGCTCAATTCAAGCTGCCCGCGCTCTGGGGCAAGGTCTAATTAGAAGAGTGCCAGGCTCACCCTGCCTGCGGAGAAAACGCATTAGTCACAGATGTAAGGGCACGAAGTTTGCCAGGGAGCAAGGGAGTGCATGGGGTCATTAAGGCCCTTCCTAAAATGCTAGGAGCCTTCGTTGCGGGAAAGGAAAACTAGATGTGACCGCGTGCAGCAGAGGAGGATACAGAAACTCTGGGAGGCAGAGTAGAGTTGACTGGGTTAGAGGCCATAAATAAGTGCATAAATGATGCTCAGTGAACGTTGCAACAGATTTAAGCCAAGTGTTCAGGATGACACAGCAAAGCCTCAGGACAAGGAAATACACAGACCGCTTAAAGCTTCCCGCTGCTGCCTGGAGCAGCCTGAGTGTGAAAGCGCGGGTGCTCGGGGAAGGGTCGCACTGAAGAATCAGGTTCAGGCTTTGAAGAGTCGTGCGCCCAGAATTGAGGTCACAGGGGCCCGAGATCTACCCTGGAAACAACAGGTGTCCGTACCATAGGCTTATCCTCAACTCCCTGCGACTAGGCTCGGGCTCCCTGGAAGTGTAGGGGTTGAAAGGGTACCAGACTCGGCAGGGGAGGGGCGGGGCGCCGGCCGGGGAGGGGCGGCGCAGGTGGGCGGGCCTGGGCAGGGTGGGGACTGGACCTATAAAGTTCTCGCTGCCCCGGAGGCTATGCTACTGCTAGGAGCCGGCGCAGGGTGGTCGGGGGGGGTGAGCAGGGTGCCGCTGGCTGCTGGGGTCTGCAGGTCACCGAGTCCCCAGGAGAGGGGACTCCTAAGAAGGCACCCGCCTGTGTTTACCCGGCAGCGAGCGCGCCGGCCCCCGGGAACTCCCGGCAGGTGAGCGAAGCTGCGGCCTTGGTGGGGGCAGCAGGGTCGGGGGCCGTTCCGCGGGGCAGGTCGCTTCCAAGTTTTGCGAACTGTTGAGTTAGTTTCAGGTTGTTGCTGTAGTTGGCGGCCTTGCTCACAGGGCTTTGTCAACTTGAGTTGCAGAGGCCGGTTCCTCCCGTTTGGCAAAGGAGTTCCTCCGCTAGTTTGCTCCCGCGTCGCCGGGCATTTTAGGAGTCTCTGCACGACTCGCCTGCTTTTGCAAATCCGTCTCTTCTCGCCTCATTTTTTCCAGCGCACAGGAAAGGCCGTTGCGCCCCGCGAGGGAAACAGAGCCGTTGACCATGGTTGCAACTGGCAGTTTGAGCAGTAAGAACCCGGCCAGCATTTCAGAATTGCTGGACTGTGGCTATCACCCAGAGAGCCTGCTAAGTGGTGAGTGTCCCCGCTGCCCACCCTTCTCCTCTCCAAAGGTCGGTGCCCCTCGATCTACCGGGTGGGCGGGCTTTCTCGACTTCCTCCCCTACCTCTATGTAGGGGGTGCCACAAAATCTGTCTGAGGAGAATCCTTCCCAAATTTTCTAACATCTTCTCTTCATGCTAGAAACAAAAGTAGCAAAAGTAGAATACCCAAGGGCTACATCTTTCTAGGCTGGTGCCAGTAGGCTCTTGGGGATTAAGGTCCTTATCTTACATGATTGTGAAGAACACAGTTATTTGTGTTTTAGCAAATGTGTTTACCCCTGTAATCAACATCACCCCTCCCCGTGAATTCCGACGCACCCATTTGCTAGGTATTTCTCACTCCCCCCTGACTCCAGGGAACTACTGATCTGATTTTTATCACTCCAAGTTAGTTTTGCCTTTAGGTAAGTGGAACCATAAAGTAGGTACTCTTTTGTGTCTGGTTTCTTTCCCGCAACCTAATGTTTTTGAGATTCTTTTATGTGGTTGCTTAAATCAGTGTGTTCATGTTTATTACTGAGTAGGATTTTCAGTCTTGGATATACCCATTATTCCATTTTTAATGTGAGAAGGAAACTATTGAACAGCAGTGGTGCTTGATTTGCTATCATTTGCAATTTTAACAGCAGTTTCTAAGTGAACACACTGCTCTGCCACTAGAGCTGTAAGAGCATAGATAAACTGCTTAGGCTCTTGGTGTTTTCCTCCTTTCAAGGTGAAGTGGTTGATGACCTAATTTATAGGGCCAGAACTCCAAAATTACATGAAGTGGAGAGGAAAACCCAGTAGCTGATGAAGGTGGAGTAGGCTTAGGGAGAGGAGCTGGGAGGGCATCAGCCTGCACCTTGTTCGTTTGACTCCCTGTAGTGTGGCAATCCTGCCAAGTGGTAGGATTCATTTGAGGAGTAGGTGACCAAATGCAGAGCTATCTCTTTTCCTTTCAGCCAATCTAATTTTATTTCCCTAGGACTATTTTGTTTTGCTTGGCTAAGAAAAACCACCCAACCGGTTATAAATATCCTCACGAACCTCAAAGGTCTTCTCTGTGCAATTTTTAATTAAAGAGGTTAAAGCTAAAATTGGGACCTTTTTTTTTCTTTACTCCAGTAAAGACTTAAAGACACAAATTTGATAGATCTTTAATGTAACTCTTCAAGCTCATGGACTTTAAACATAATAGCAAAAATTCTTTATTTTACAATACATGTATTCCTACAGTAAGAAAGTAATAAACCCTTAGTCCAAATAACAAAGTTTTAACTTTTTATCCCAGAAGTAATAAATGTTTTCTGTAAAACAAAATTAGAAAACCCCCATAAGCAAGTAGGCAAGAAAGAAAAGAAAATCACCAATAATCTGGGATAATCCCAAGTAGATTTTTGATGCATAGTCTTTATGATTGTGTGTGTTCTGTGTACACACATGAATTTAAAGAAAAGTGGTTATATCCTATCCACTCTATTAATCTAAACCTTTATTTCATACATGAACTTTCATGAGAGCTTAAATTATTCGCTATATTACATGGTAGATAGAGGTAACCAATGTTGATATCTTGGTGTGTTTTTTCTACTGTGAATTTTTTTTTTTCTTTATCTAAAAAGAAAACTCCATTTCTTACAGATTTTGACTACTGGGATTATGTTGTTCCTGAACCCAACCTCAACGAGGTAATGTTTGAGGAATCAACTTGCCAGAATTTGGTTAAAATGCTGGAGAACTGTCTGTCCAAATCAAAGCAAACTAAACTTGGTTGCTCAAAGGTCCTTGTCCCTGAGAAACTGACCCAGAGAATTGCTCAAGATGTCCTGCGGCTTTCCTCAACAGAGCCCTGTGGCTTGCGAGGTTGTGTTATGCACGTGAACTTGGAAATTGAAAATGTATGTAAAAAGCTGGATAGGATTGTGTGTGATTCTAGCGTGGTGCCTACTTTTGAGCTTACACTTGTGTTTAAGCAGGAGAACTGCTCATGGACTAGCTTCAGGGACTTTTTCTTTAGTAGGGGTCGCTTCTCATCTGGTTTCAGGAGAACTCTGATCCTCAGCTCAGGATTTCGACTTGTTAAGAAAAAACTTTATTCACTGATTGGAACAACAGTCATTGAAGGGTCCTAAAAAGGGAAAATATATAAAGCTTATTTCATGATTGGGTAGTAAAACTATTCAGCTAGTCAGCTAAAGTCATTTGTAGTTTGCCCCACCTGTCCTCAATAAGAAACCCCAAATGTAGTCCATTTTCTTTCTGTATTTCACATTCTTAGCAACTGCGCTAACAGGCTGATTTTCTGGCCTTTCAAGAAGTGATCCGAAATAGTGTACATTTTCTGCATATATCCCATTTTTGTACAGAATTGAATGGGATGGAATAGGTAAGCAAAAGTAGAAGTCCATTTGAGTTTTACATTTGATTCCACAATTTTGTTTCAGGTAGGCTTGGTAATAGACTATATAAACCAGATTTGCCTAGTTTGATTTTCATATGACTTTTTTTTCTGTAAGTTTTCAGGGTGATTCTTTAAATCACAGAATCTTACTCAATGATACTTAGCTGATCAAAACTTCCAGAAGCCCACACCACCAGTTCATGACTCAAATTTGAAGAGTTCTTAGACAGGAGGGTAGGATTAAGTAGGTGAGTTTAATTAAAACTTAACCCTAGGTAAGAGTGAATGAGAAATATTATGGCAATAATGGAACTGCTTCACTGTTTCTTGGTGACTTCCTCACTCTAATGTTTTAAAGAGGTGACGAAAGTTTGTGCTACCATTTCAGTAACCACGGTGTTGTTTTAGATGCCTTTAAAAGCTCAGTTTCCCTTGTTCTTAAGTGTTGAATATTGTCTTTAAACTAGAAAAATGCAAAACATTGAACTGATATTTTTGTGTGTAATTGATTACTCTTCCACTGAGTGAATGATGAATACCTGTGAGGATAGGACATTAGTTCTGAGATCTAGTCCCTCTCTGATTCACTTAGTAATCTGTCTTCTTTTCAGTATTACATATGCTTAATCTCATATGAACGATTTCACCATGTCAGTATTATCTCATCTCTGGGCTTTTCTGGGAATTGAGGAATCTCTCCTTAACCCCAATTGTCAAGGGCAGTAGCTGTATACTACCACTTTGAATTATTGAAACGGGTCAATTTACAAAGTCTGCATTGGCTATGGAAATATGGTTTATAGTACAGCCTAGAGAATGAAACTCACAGTCCAGATAACCATGCGCGCACCCAGATTTTTTCCACCTTGGATACCTGTCACTAGGGAATAATAAAGGCCTTACTTTTTGTCTTATTCCGACTAAGTAGATCATTATCTCTTTCCTTTTTTATGTTAATGAGAGAATTTAGCCTCTACTCAACAATGTTCAATTCAGCAAGGCTTTCATATCCTTGCTGTGGCTCATGGATAAGGAGCTTTATTCAGGTTTCTTGCCCTAGCTATTAGCTCCATTTCACATACTGGAACAGATGTAGGGACAGATGTATTCATCCTGGTGTTACTGAAAAACAGGTGTGATCCTGTTACTGATACTATAAGTGACCTAAAATGTCACTGTTCAAATTAGCAAGTGTTCTAACAAACTAAACTCTTCAAATGCTTGGAAAGATACTACAAAGCCAATCTTTATAGAATTGGGCCAAGATAAATCAACGTCATTTTGCATGTCTGTTGTCAGGCTCCAAAGGTTCACTGTGTTTCTGCTGCTGTCCTGGAGTTGTCACCACTGACTGGGCAAGGCTTCTTGGGCATGGATGTAGAACTGTTGTCCTTTTTCCACTAACAGTTATCTTTGATTCTCTTGCCTGTTATGCTTACAAAATGGTGATGGCTTATGGAGGCTGTTAAATTAATATTCCTGTTAAAGGAAATTAAAATTTGTCTATTTTTTGACAATAAAGCATTATATATTTTTAATTATCTTGTCGTCTTTTTTTTCTTTCCCCTACTTGATGCAGTGGTCACAGGATCAGGGCTGCAATTACAAGGGCTGTAACTAGAGGTGGCTCATTCCTAATAAACCTTATATCAGAATTCCTTATGGGCCTGATAGAAGTGGGTTGTGCCTTCATCTCATTTGGCAAAATTGGGGTTAACAGTGAATGCAGCTGTTTTGCCTGGTAGTAAAAACAACCTACCAATTTGGGCCTGTGTAGCCTAACCCTATCTGAATGAGTGGACTGAAAGGGAGCACCGGCTAGACTGGCATTGCTGCCTTCCACCTAGATAGACAAGGTGGGCAAATGGAGACAAACCTTCGCTTCCAAAGGTGGAAGATTTGGGGTATAAATGAAGAGAAGGAAGAATAGTCACTGAGGTTAAAGGAATTAATAAATGAATAATATAAGGAGGGGAATCCAATATTATCCCTTCAAAAGAGGATCAGAGCAAGTGATGATGATGTCTTCCAGCTCAACTATAACAGATAACAGATGCCTGAAAAGGTGAAGCTATGTTTGCAGAGACTACTTTTGAAATCAGACAAGATCGAATGGAAGCCTACAAACTTGAGTGACCTCATTCTAGGAGACATATTTATACTATACAATGGACATGATTAATTATAAATGATTCAGTGAGATTCTAGGAGTGCTGCGGTATATTTTAAGTTGTATGTCCTTTTGATATAAGGAATCCTTATTGGAAGATTAGGATGGTCTTCAAATATATGTTGTGAAATATACATTTGGTCTTAGTCCCTATTTCCTGGTATAAAACTCTTGAACTAGTTAGATTCTTCAAAGTGTTAAGTGTCTTTTGTAATGCTAATGTTGACTGATGGCTGGATTCCTCCAGGTAGCTTCAGGATGGGGCTTGATCACCAGAAAGACCAAGGCTGTATTAGGTTGTTGAGACTTTTAGCCCCAACACACCCTCACATCCACCTGGAAGGAGAGAGGGTCTGAAGATTAAGCCAATGGCCAGTGATTTAACCAGTCTACATAATTCTACATAACAAAGCTTCCATAAAAATCTGAAAGGACTGAGTTCAAAACACCTTCTGAGGAAGTGAACACTTGGAGGTTCGTGGAGGATGGTGGGCCTGGGGAGAGCATAGAAACTCCTGCCCCTTCCCACATTTCTTGCCCTATGTATTTCTTCACAGGCACTCATCAGCATCTTTTCTATTAATCTTTATAATAAATCAGTAAACATACGTGTTTCCCTGAGTTCTGTGAGCTGCTCTAGCAAATTAATCTAATCCCAGGAGGGAGTCATGGGAACCCTGATTTATAGCAGGTAGGTCAGAAGCACAGGTCAAGCAAGCTGGGGCTTGAGATGGAAGTTGGGTGAGGGGGACACTCCTGGGGACTGAGCCCTTTACCTGTGGTATTTGAGGCTATCTCTAGGTAATGTCAGAATGGAGTTGAATTAGAGGATACCCAGCTGGTGTCAGATGCAGAATTGATTGCTTGCCTGGTATGTTGGGAAAACCCACACGTTTGGTCACAGAAGGCTTCTGTGTTCATCTTTGAGTGAGAAGGTATAGGAGAAACCAAGTATGATTTTTTTTCCTTCAGTATTCTCAGAATGGGTAAAGGAGGTTGTTTTCAATAACCGGAGCAATAACAACTTTTCACAGGAAATGAATAAGTTGAATGCATACACATGGAGCATAAAAATCAATTTCAGGTTGATTAAGGAATTAAATATGAAAGGGAAACTTAGAAGATGGAATTTTCATAATTTTGACATGGCGGGAAGAACTCTTAAATAAGATGTCAAGATGCCCTGAAACATCTCTTTTTCAAATAATCCTGTAAGGAAGATAAAATTAAAACTCAGGAACTAGAAGAAAGTGTTTTCAACACATATAACTGAAAAATGGTTTGTAACCAGAATACATCAAGAATTCTTGCAAAGCAATAAGAAAAACACAAACAACCCCCCAAAAAATACGTTGTCAAAAGCCCGAATAGTCACTATATGGGAAAGGAAGCCAATCTGGCTGATAATTATATGAAAAGATCCTCAATCTAATTAGTAATCAGAGAAATTCAAGTTAAAAGCAATAATAAAATATCAATATAGACATCCACATTAGTAAAAATAAATTGATAATTCCAAAAGTTAGTGAAGACACAAGAAAAAAAAATCAACAAGTCAATACATGTATATGGTATTATTTTATAAAATTGAATGATAAGTATATTTCATGAACCAGAATATGAAAGAGTGTTCTTCAAACTTTTTTTTTTTTTTTTTTGGAGAGAGAGGGTCTTGCTCTGTCACACAGGCTGGAGCACAGTGGTGTGATCACAGCTTATTGTAGCCTCTATTTTCCAGGCTCAGGCAATCCTCCCGTCTGAGCCTGCCAAGTATCTGAGACCACAGGTGTGCGCCACCACACCCAGCTAATTTTTTTTTTTTTTTTGTAGAGATACGGTCTCCCTATGTTGCCCAAGCTGGTTTTAAACTGCTGAGCTCAAGTTATCCTTCCACCTTGGCTTCACAAAATCCTGGTACTACAGGTGGGAGCCACTGTGACCTGCCTGTCAAATTTTTTAAATTGTCATTCAAATTATTTATCCTAAGTTTAAAAAGTTGCAAATGATGTAAAGTCCAGAATGTGACAAATACTGGCCTTTTAAAATAAAACTATTACATCACCTTTTAAATATTTCCAATGGAATGTAAGTAGCATAGTAATTTGACATTCAACATCTATTTAGAAAATATTATAAATAAGGCCTTCAACAGAATTAAACATTTTCAGTGTTATTTTTCTTCATTCCTGTATCTTTTCAAAGTCTACATTTTATGCTGAGTTTTCTTTAATGTAATATCTTTTAAACTTAAAAGTCTTTTATTATTTCTTCCCTGTAAAAAATAAGATTATAAACTGAAATTAAATTTTTTCAAATTTTCTGTGACTGAGTCTTTAAATGTCAATTTTTGAGTGAGTTAACTTTGCAAATAGTAATAATATACAATGGCCAAAATAACATGTTTTCCAAATTTTTGAATACTATTAAACACAATAATAATAATAAGCTATTTCTTAATGAGATGACTAGTTAATTAATTCATAGTTTCATATTGTTTTTTTGCTGGAATTAAGAGTTTAGCATTATTTCTTTCCATTCTTCCTTTTCTCTCTCTGTCTCTCTCTCTGTCTCTCTCTCTCTCTCTCTCTCTGTGTGTCTCACCCTCTGGCCCAGGCTGGAGTGCAGTGGCACAATCCTAGCTCACTGCCGCCTCAAACTCCTGGGCTCAAGTTTTCCTCCCACATCAGCCTCCCAAGTAGCTAGGACTACAAGGGTGCACCGCCACATCCAGTTAACTTTTTAATCTTTTGTAGAGATAGGGTCTTGCTATGTCACCCCGGCTGATCTCAAACTTCTGACCTCAAATGATCCTCCTGCCTCAGCCTCCCAAAGTCCTGAATTCTTTCAAAGCAGTAAGAAAATGACAAACAACCCCCCAAAACTATATGGTCAAAAGCCTGAGCCACTATGCCTGGCCATCTATTTTTTGTTTCTATAGATGTAAGCTCTGAGAAAATCTATTCACATCAAGAAGATGGGAATGTAGGAGATTTAGTTATTATAGTATCACTCAATCTTTGAACTACTTTCAAGGTATATACTCAAATCACATAAATATATATCACCAAAAGATTATTTTAAATGATCAATCTGCACATAATTCAATCAGGTTTCCTTTCAATATTGTTGAAATAAAAAAAATGAAACCACCTGACTCACAAAAGTACTTGTTACCTAAGTATATTAGTTTGCTAGGGCTACAATAATGAAGTACCAAAGACTAGAGAGCATAAACAACAAAAATGTATTGTCTCATAGTTCTGGAGGCTAGAAGTCCAAGAACAAGGTGTCAGAAGTGTTGGTTTCTTCTGAGGCCCCTCTTTTTGGCTTGTAGGTGAGGCCGTCTTCTCCTTGTGTCTTCACATTGTCTTCATTCTGTGTGCATGTCTGTGTCCTAATCTCCTCTTCCTATAAGGACACCAGTCATTGGATTAGGGTCTACCCTAGGGGCCTCATTTTATCTTAATTACCTGTCTAAAGACCCTATCTCCAAATGCAGTCACATGCTGAATTACTGGTGGTTAGAACTTAAGAATTTGGAGTTAATACGATTCAGCCATAAAACCAAGCATTCAAATAATACACAATACTATCCTAGAGCAATATTTCAAACTGTCCCTTTCTTTAGCACTCTAGGAGTGTTTACACCCCAGAATAAAGCATTACAGTAAGATTGACCAACACTGAGAGAAAGGTATGTCATTTTGTAAAGTCGGGGAAGAGGATAAAGAGCAAATATAAAATCAGGACCTGTGTCTCTGACAAAGTCTCAGAGAGATCAGTTTTAGAAAAGAGTGTGTATAGAAGCAAAAGATTTAGAAATTGGTTCCCCTAGAACTATTTGCACCCTACGTATCCACATATCACATGAGAAGCATTTGTATATCCTTGTACATATATCCCCGTTTTAAGACTACTGCCTTTTATTCTTGCACTAATGCATTAGGAGACTCTCACAGGAGTTCAGCAATACAACTGTCTGGAAAAGCAACGTGGACTGCCCATCAGCTGTGGAACAGGTACATGAATTGTGGGTATCATCATAAATGGAATGCTGGTCAGCAATAACAATGGACTTTAAATTACAAATGAGGTGTGTAGAAAGCTGAAACTGGATCCGTTCCTTACACCTTATACAAAAATTAATTCAAGATGGATTAAAGACATAAATGTTAGACCTAAAACCATAAAAACCCCAGAAGAAAACCTAGGCAATACCATTCAGGACATGGGCATGGGCAAGGACTCCATGTCTAAAACACCAAAAGCAATGGCAACAAAAGTCACAATTGACAAATGGGATCTAATTAAACTAAAGAGCTTCTGTACAGTAAAAGAAACTACCACCAGAGTGAACAGGCAACCTAC